TGGTGGCTCATACTTGTAATCTTGTCACTTGGGAGGTAGAGGTAGGTGGATCAGGAGTTCAAGGTCATCCTCAGTTATATACTGAACTTGAGGTTAGCCTGGGACTCTTGAGATCCTATCACACACACACACACACACACACACACACACACACACACACACACGTCTCTCTGTGAGTATATATACATTTGTGGGTGCTGCTGAAGAGTCCAGAAGAGAGTGTCGGGTGTTTATCATGGGTGTTACCCTATCACCCTCAGTGCCTTGGAGCTGGGGCTATAGGTGGGGGACCCTTGGCTTGTCATGTGGGTGCTGGGATCCAAACTCCGATCCTCAGGACTATGCAGTGTGGCAGGCAAGATCTCTCCAGCCCCCTGAGTGGGGTCCGCACCTCTTCTAGGATCAGAAGCAGACACCAGTGCCCTTGTCTGGGCCATTATCCGTTGTGTTCCTATGCATGGACATACCAGGGCTGCTTCCCAGGCATGAGGCCTGTTCTTGCAGTGTGCCCTTTGCTCGTGGCGGGGGTCTTTGGTCCTTCTAATCCTTCCCCTCCTCCTTCTAACCATATACCGTCACCGTAGCACACAGCAGAGTCCTGATGTCTCTAGCAGCACGATTCAAAGACCATGAGGCTCTGGCCCCTCTGCTGTGGCCTTAGCTTCACCCTTGCCTCACCCTGGCTTCCTGCGCCCACCACATGCTCACCACACTGTCTGAGGCATGCTCTGTCTGGCAGCCAGGTGGTCTCTTGAGGTACAGCTTGGACTGTTGTGATCACTTGTGCTGAAGGACAGACTCTATGTATGTGATCTCCCAGCAACCCATGGACCTACATACTCTTAGTTTATGTGCACAGCTGTGGAGAGGCCTCCTCCCGGCTTCTGTCCTCTGCCACCCAAGGGTCCTATAGCTGCTAGTGACAGAGGAGTCAAGAGTGTATTCAAGGTCCTTGCTCTGCAGAGTCCTATGGTTGGCACCAGAAGGCACTGTGCCACTGTTCAAGTTTGGGCAGAATGACCAGAACAGAGAATGACCTCCAGGCCGGACCTCTGCTTGCCACTCTCACCCAGAGGGACACGGAGTCCAGTTGTTGGCTTCTTGGAAAAGCTGCATCAGAAGGTTTAATGAGTGACCTGCTGGGCGGAGCTGTTTTCCACCCGGATGGTGGGAAGAGCCTCAGAGGTCAGGTTTCCCAGAGGCTGGGTGGCTAGATGGGGCTGTGACCAATGGCAGCTGGCAGTGACAGGGCAGTAGTGGAAAACAGCTCTTGTGAGGCTGGGCCCAGCTGCAGCGCCAGCAGAGACACCTCCGGAAGAAGCTCCTTTATGAGTCAACAGCTCCTGTGGTTGACCTGGGGCAAACTTGGTCTCCACTAACTGGCCGAATGATGCTGGGAAAGTCACTTTTCTCACTAGCCAGTTTCACAGCCTCAGACAGACAAGGGACAAAGGGAGAAAAAGCAGAGCCGGCTCCTGGGGAAGGGACACCCCTCACTGCCTTCCTTAAGCCCTTCCTCCCCATCTAACCTTGGCCTCCTCTCCTCTCCTCACCGCTGCTGAACAGTCTAACACTGAGACTGACAGCAGCTTAGAGCCATGTCAGAGCAGTCAGAAAGCCACGTGGCCACAAGCAGGGTGCTCTCCTCTGAGCCTCCATTCCTGCGTCTGTCAAATGGGGACATTATTCCTCGCCCCGGGAGCCTCTGGGAAAATAAATATGCTCAAGTTCAAGAAGGAATAGCTGGAGATTCACCAGATAGTGGCTTTACAACCCAGAGGGCTTGGGTGAGACCGGGGAACGTAGACAAGAGGGCCACAGGGAAAGGGCTGTGCTCAGCTTGCAAGAATGACCGCCACTGCTTGTCAGCCCCAGGGGGAGGCCCTGTCCTCCTCAGGGCTACAAAGTTCATAAAAAGTTGACAGGCCAGCAGAAAAACATCCCAGGCTCTGCTTCCTGACCCTTGAGTTTTCAGGAGGAGGGTTCATCCCAAGACCTTCATGCACGGCCCTGAGATAGATGGGATCTGGTGGCTCGGAACACCTCCTCATGCCTTTCCCCCACATCCTTCTGTCTCCAGCCTGGAGTTCCAACCAAAGCGGCTAAGAGGGGTGAGGCATTTTACAGCTTTCCTGTTATAAGCGGTTGAAAGAAGAAAATTTCACGGTGTGAAAATACCAAACTTGCAGGGTGGTGGTGGCACTCGCCTTTAATCCCAGCACTCGGGAGGCAGAGGCAGGCAGGTCTCTGTGAAGCCAGCCTGGTCTGCAAAGTTAGTCCAGGACAGTCAGGGCTACACAGAGAAACCCTGTCTCAGAAAGGAGGGAGAGAGAGAGAGAGAGAGAGAAAGAGAGAATACCAAGCTGAAAATGCAAGCATCAGGAAGAACCCCCAGGGACCGGGCACCTGCTGGGGCAGTATTCTACCACTGAACTAACTCAGCTCCTGCTAGTGAAGCTTCAGTGGAGCAATACACACCCACAGATGCCTGTGTTGTCTCTAGCTGCTTTGGCACTCTGAAAGCACGAGGGGTGAGTTGCAACAGAAACGAGATGTCCCGAAAAGCCAGAAACATTTACTCTTTCATCCTTTACAGAGTAGTGCGCAGAACCCCGGCTTGACATAAACAGGACATGGAGGCACGTGCCTATAATCCAGACACCCAAGGTTATCTGCAGCTAAATCATGAGTTTGGGGTCACCCTGGGCCACATGAGAACCTGTTGCAACAAACAAACACCCAACAAAACAAACAAACAAAAGTGAAAAGAAAGTAGATGTGCCCTGGGGAAAATTGTTGGCTGTTCAGACAGCCTCTAGACTAGAGGTTGGAAGCATGGTGTGTGAATAAGAGCACTAGCTGCTCTTGCAGAGGGGTTCGGTTCCAACACTCACCTGTAACTCCAGCTCGAGCCTAGATATCTAGGAGTGGTGAGGCACACCTGCAGTGCACTTGGGAGGCCAAGGGAGGATTGTGGTGAGTTCAAGGCCAGCCTGGGCTACAGAACAAGGCTTTCTCTGGGTCCTAGATGGGAAAAAGGAGTAGTCAGGGAGAGATGGCTGTCAAGGTGAGCCAGGTTGGCAGGGAGGAATGAATTACCTCTAAACCTTCTGCACAAGAGACTGGCTACCCATGGTTATGTATGGGGGCGGCTGACAAAAAAGGCAGGTCATGGAGGCAGGTGCTTTCCCAACTAGAGAGAGGAGCAAAGGCATGGGGAAAGCAATGCTGGGGCCAGCCTGCAGGGGCACCTCAGTCCCTCCAGGGCACTATCCCTGGCCCAGCCCCAGGACCCCACTTTTCTGACTCAGTTCCCTTTCTCCCCTTTCCTCAGCAATCCCCAACCCCACTGCTAGACCCTTCCCTTTCAAGACCAGGACCCCTCGCTGCACCTACAGCTGCAGCTCTCTCCCTCCCTTCCTTCATCAGGTGTCTGCTCAAAGGTCACCTGTTCAGTGAGGTCTACCCCATTTGTCGACCTGAGGGGCTGGGGCTGCTGTAGCTTAGCCAGTCTGACATGGAGGCTGACTGGGCTTATGTACAATGAAATCGCTCTCTCTCTCCGTGAGGGCAAGAGCATCTGGAATCTCTTCAGCCCCAATCCTGTTGAATACTGCACTAGCTCCGCAGGCATCTACATATAACCATATCTCTATAGCGTTTTCCTTCCCTCTCCCCATTTCCTGCCCCTCCTCATCTCTATTGCCATGTATTTGCCTTGCATGTGTATGGGCATGTTTGTATGTGTGCAAACATGGGTGATGCTCCCTAGGGACACTGTGCACTTTTAAAAATAACTTATTTGTGTGTGTCGTGTATGTGTGTGTGTGTGGTGTGTCTATGTGTGGTATTTGTGTGTCACAGCACAGCTGCGGCGGCGTTCAGGGGATAACTCTTGGGGGTGACTTGTCTCCTACCCTGGGATCTAGAGACCAAGGTTGTCATCAGGCTTGCATGGCAAGCACTGTTACTTGCGGAGCCATCCACCTTATCTCTGCAACAGAGCCTCTGCTTGGCCTCGGGAGTACTCCTCTGCCTGGCAGGGGTCCGCTTGCCTCGGCCTCCGCAGGCCTGGGATTGCAGGCGTGGGCCATCATGCAAGTAAATGGGTTCTAGGAATCAAACGTGCGCTTGCAAGACAAACCCTTTACCAGTGTTGCCATCCATCCAGCCTTACACACACACACACACACACACACACACACACACACACACACACACA